CCCCCCCCCCAATAAAAATCCCGCAATAATCACGACGTAATAAGACTCGGCCTGACTCTTTTCTTTGATAGAGATGGACTCGTTGTGTCATTTTGTCAAACATTTTGTCAACCGAGCGACTTTTGCCCCATTTCAAAATCTTTGAGAATATTTTGCCGAAGATTTTATCCCATAAAAAGTGAAACAAAATCTTTATCCGCAAATGTTTGAAATTTTAAATTTAGACTTTTTTCCAAAGATTTGGTGACNAATATTTTGCCGAAGATTTTATCCCATAAAAAGTGAAACAAAATCTTTATCCGCAAATGTTTGAAAATTTAAATTTAGACATTTTTCCAAAGATTTGGTGACCATAAACATGGGCCTGATAGCCAGACAATATTAATATTATATGCCAGAAGGAAATAACAGGCCGGGAAAAGACCGACATTGGGCCTTCCCGCAAGAGAGGTGCATTCCCCCCGTTCTTTTTTTTTTCGTATCGAAATCGAGTTCAATTTCTCGCACGTCGGCATATATATTTATATATATATTCGTTTTGCTCCCATCATGGGACACTGTCATCTGCCCCTCTGGCCCCTATCCTCCACTTCTACCATTTAGCTAGACGACCCAACCGGGGTCACCTAGGAGGGGGGGGTTCCTGCCTGAGATATTTTTATCGCGAGAAGGGTACAGCAATCCCTTCCCTCGCGACTTATGAAGTCGATCAAGTTTACTGACAACGAGCCGCCTCGCATTCTTCACGCGTGACTCCAGTTCTGTCTCCGAAACCGACACAGCCCGCCCGAAGTAGCTACCGTATATGACACAAGATAACACACCCCCTTGACCGATTTTCAAAGCTCGAAGAGGATGCATAGACGAAACGGTACATCTTCGAAAAACTCTCGACGAGACAGTCTCAACGCCGCCGTTTTCGGCGTTGTGGCTGTTCCTGCAGTTGAGAAATCGAGCTTCGAAAATTGGTCAAGGGGTATGTTATCTTATGTCATATGCGGTATATATATTAGTCTATGGATGTGTTCATTTTCATTATCCAAACCAAGAGTTATTGAAACCAAGAGTCATTGCAGTTCCGACCGCGAACACACACGCGTACTTACTTGATGTGCGACCCGCCTACGACTCCCTCCGGTACGCTTGTGAGCTCCAGCCTTGTTGCTTGGTACGGCTCTGCGACGTGCTCCCACGGGTATGTAGACAAGTCCGTCGTGCCATGCGTCGTGTTGACGTGTTGGTAGTGGTTGGATACCCTCACCCCGAGAGGACCTCTGTTCATCGTCGACAACGACATGCGCGGCTGGTACTGCTGCTCCTGCTGCTTGGGTGACCCCGCCCCACCATCTCCTGCGGCTAAGGTTGTGGGGTTGGCCAACCCCGGCACGGTGGAATGTTCCAGTGGGGACGACATCCTCACCGTGACCATGCCGAGCGCGACGGCGCAAAAAAGAGCGCAGGCGACCAGGACGTTCCGCGGCCGCCGTCGTCGGCTGCCGCCGCCTGTGTTAGCATCGATAGGCTCGTACACGAACCCGCTTGGCCTGTCCCACCCTTGCACCTGAACGACACTCATCTCGCCTCGGCGAATCCGTGATCTCCGAAGAAAGGAAAGGAAAGCGTGCGCGCTGGTGGGTGTGTGTGTGGTTGGTCCGAGGGAGAAAGGAAAATGACTTCATCACGAACTCAACCGTATCCGTACTTCAGTGAAATGAAGCTCCTCCACGTTTACGACGAAGCCCAAAGCTGCAGCTTCTTTGGCTCTCGGGACGTAGTAGTGTTGTCTGATACAAAAAATGAAGATAGACTACAATTTTCCAATTTGGTGAGAGATTTCCCGAAACGTTCCTTGGGCTGTGCCACGAAGGGATATTTTCCCGACGTGTTCCCACATGTCTTTGGTGAACCCTTTTGGGTCTACGGGCGTCCTGACAGATCATTGATTGATCATATGTAAATGCTGGCGTTGTGGCATGCCATGAAGTTTCCGCCCTGTATCCCTCCACGCCAGGTGTTGGCAAGTCAATAGGTAGGTGTGTCTTTATTATTCGCATCGACCGCGCTACCAAATCTCAGCGTATTCATCGCACATCTCCGGAGATGGCAGAACTCGGAATTATGCCATCAGTTGCCGAATCTTCTGCACACAACGCCGCCACTTTCTCAACACTTTCTGGGCCCACTACACCGCATGCGACATTGCCTGCTGCTTCCGACAATAATCACGCTGTGCTCGCTGCAATTAATGTTGCACTCGTGCGCTCCACCGCACCGCATGCCAACGCACACTTCGCTCAATGGGAACATGAAAATTCGTTCGATCTTGACACGTTGTTTACCACCCCCGTTCAGAGAGTAACACAGCAGCCTCCCGCCCAATCTCAACAACGGCGTGATCTCATGTACCGTTCTCGCGTTGAGCTCTCGCCTGCTGAACTCAATGCACGCATCAGCCTACCGCAACACGCCCGCGCACAGCGTTACGCTGCTCGCGCCGCTCGACAATAGAGCAGCTTGCCCTCCTCAGCTACCGCACAGCCTTCAACAAACGACAATGAGACCGACACTGTCAATAACCCTTCCCCGTCACTCCCTTCCCCCGTGGAAGTTGCCGCTACTCAGGCTTATCAGCCTCCTTCCGCCATGTCCAACACATACGATGCGAAACCGGAGCCCAGCAAGCTCCCGTACTCCGAGTGCCCGCCAATCTCCCAAACCCGATACTCTGCATCCGAGTGGGACGGGCTCGGCCTCGCACTACAACGGCGCGCCGTCGACAAAGCCCCCGCCGCTGCCGGTATCGCCATCGATGCCGAGGCCGCAGCGGCGAAACACGCACAAGAACTCCTGCAGCGAGAGCGGGAGCAAAAAGTTTCGGAGGCGAAGCAGAAGTCGAAAAAACTCCGAGACTTACAAGCATCTGCCGCCGCTCGTCTCGCACACCTCAAGAAAGAGACCGCTGCCCTCCAACGCCAGCAGCATGAGCGACAGCAGGCCCTTAACCTCGCAGAATCAGAGGAGTTAGCCGCTATCTCCGAGAGGGACAACCCCTCTGACGACTTCCATACACCTCAGAGAGCCAACAACCGTCGTCAGAAGGGCGACCACACCGCCGCCGCTCCGCCCTCCCCGCCATCGCCCTCCGGCCCGTCGTCGCCCCACACCACCTTCAAGGTCGCCGTCGTCAAGCCTACATACGCCGCCGCCACCCGCGGTGGGCTCGAAGACTCCACAGCATGGTACCACTCCACACCACTGGCCGTGATCGCCCGCACGTATCAGCGCGCTTTCAGCAACCCACACCGCACAGGTAGACAAATGGCTACCCGCCCATATTCCTCTGAGGAAAAATAATCCTCTAGAGGGTTCGAAATCCTCTGGAGGATATTTTACCCTCTAGAGGATTTGTGCACGATATGCTCCGAGGGAAAAACCTCAACAAAGCTCGGAGGGGAGACAATCGGCCTCTTCCGAGGATATCAAACGAAAAATCCTCCCGAGGGTACGATATACAGCATCCTCCAGAGCATTGCCTGAGAAACGTTACTCTGGGGGTTACATATCTGACGTATTCCTCGGAGGGTAAGCAATTGGTGTCCTCCGAGGATCTCAAACCACGATTTCCTCAGAGGGAGCAGATTCGGCATCCTCCAGAGCATCACGTAAAGAACAGGTTGCCCTAGAGGAAAAATGTCGAACAGTTCCTCGGAGGGCAACACTTAACAATCCTCCAGGGGGAACTTGAAATTTGAACCCGCTGGAGTTGACTGGATTACGATTTCCCCTCGGAGGAAGCCATCCTTGCTTCGTCGAGGCGTAACAGTAGTGTAAATTTCCTCCTGGGGAAAAAGCCCTAAAGTATTCCTCCAGATGTATCTGACATGCATTCCTCCGGAAGGTGGCGCTGGTCTATAAGTTACTCAAGAGGTTACTGCTGGACAAGGTATGTATTAGGTGGATGAAAGCACCTGCAATGCTCGCGGGGTACCGCCGTAACAATCTTCGGGAGGGTTCTTCCGGCGGGTTGTTCCTCCGGAGGGTGTTGGTTTCTAAATGTCCTCTGTTTGGGCATGATGTCTGTTGCTCTGGGGAAGAAAAATATCAGCTGAAAAATATCACAACCAGCACTTTTGGCAGCATGGCTGTGGCTGGCTCCATGACAGCAGCACAGAGAGCACAAAACAAAAAAAATCCGCCACGACAGAGGCCACGGGCTGCACCAATCAGCGCGTAAACTTTCCAGCGCACATGCTGCGGTGCTGCTGCGAGACCCAGCCCGAGGATGGCTCCTCGCCCGTGCCCGCTGTACACAAAGAGGAAGCGCAGGCAGCAGGTGTGCGCGGAGGAAGGCGCCGTGCATGGGCACAGCAAATGGCCAAAAGGCGGTCGGGGGAGTCGGGGCTCCAACACGGGGTGTCCCGATTCAGACACGAGCCCCCTTTGGCCGTTGTTTTTTTTGGCTTCCTGCCTGCTTCTGCCGTTGGCTCAAACACGCACCCCGGCACGCACATATGCACTATGAGCGATGAGCACCAGCCTCCGCAGACCGCTGCCACTGTACATCGGCGTCCACACACCACAGCATCATGATCCGAGTAATGCGTGCCATCCTGCTTGGTTTTCCCGAGCAAGGCTCTGACAACAAGGGACCTGGAAAAAGCCATGGCCTGGACGAGACAGAGAGAGGACCATCTCCTCCTGACGATCGCGCGGCTTGTTCGAGGTAAGTGCCGGAATGTGAATGGCAGTATAATAGAGGGATGAAATGGGCCGAGAAGGCCTTGTGCGAGGCGTGTTTTGGTGATCCGTGGGTGTCATTGCTTGGGGCTTGCTTCATTCTCCGCGGGGGAGGGTGTGTGGCTTGCTCCTGTTTTGAGACAACCGAGCTTGTCGAGTGATCGTACGACGAGGAGGGGCCCACGTGCTCAACATCACAGCTTGTCACATGCACTATGCGCCTGCACTATTTATTCATCTGGCCAAAGCTTGCAGACCAGCGCAGTCCTGAATTCATGCTAGCCAGACCATCAGGTGCGGTGCCATGGGTAGGTCCACCTGGGCAAACCTGGGCTACCTTGTTTGTGTAGCGATTTTTTCTGGCGGCGCCTGGAAAAAAAAGAAAAAAAAAAGGAAGTCTTCGTAGATACAGCAGTTGGCCTTTCTCGCGAGTTGCTGCAGATGATGTAGAGTGAGCAGGAGATTACCTAGATATGTCTGCGCTCTGATCGATTGTCCCCTTTTTTCCACTCTCGGTGCTGTTTTGCAGCGCACAAGCAGCACTTGTCAAAAAAACCATCGTCATGTGTCTATCTGTACTGCACGTACACTGCTGTATGTAGCGTTTCAACACTAAACAACAAGCACGCCATCGGTTCAACAGGAGGCCAGCGGCAGCCAAGTGCAGCAAGCAGCACCACAGCGGTGATTCGAGCAACCAACATGTCGAGAGAAGTGGTGCCGCCTTCAAATCCGCGCCTGTGATGATGTGTGCAGTGAAAGATCCCGCCTGTTTCTCTGCTGCTGCTGCTTCTGCTGTACACATTAATATTCTCAAAGGCAAATATCGAGCATCAGATCCCACATCTCTGTCTGACCTGCCTGATCTCGGTCTCACCCAGTCATTCTGCACCACACCAGACCACCATACACAAAAGAACAGCAGCAGTTGCTAGAGTGGAGTGTAAAATGGTGCCACTGCGTCAGTGCGCCAACCGCACATTGCTTGTTTGCGTCTGACCATCATGCATCATCAAGCCGCTTCTTTCCTGGCAGCTACATAGATCGCTACAGCCGCAGCAGCAGCAGCAGCGAGGGCGTGTTGCTTCCATGTCCCACACACCCCTCCTTCTCTGTGTGCTATGTGCTGGGTGCCGGGTGTGCTGTGTCTGCTGTGTGTTGCCAAGATCGCAGGTGATGTGTGCCCCTCTTGTGCCCCTTTTCAAATGTGTCCCGCTACCGACTTTAACCGAAGTATCAGCTTCAATTCTAGTACAAAAGAAATGTGTCCCGCTACCGACGGCGAGGCTCCGACACTGAAACACCGCGTTGTGTTATCTACGCGGGCTATTAATAAAAAATAAAAATAGGCGTTTGCTTCGGAACTGCTGTCTCTCTCGATGCTCTATGCATATCTTTGGGCAAGAAAGCGTAATAGCGTTGAAGCTCGTCCGGCAGCTTGTGCTGAAGAAGCTTGCGCCTCCACAAGACGACTTACTGGCTTGCTTCTGGTTGCTTTTTCCGCTGGCGAGCATATATTCATGCCGGCGAGGGATATTTGTTGTGCGTCACGCCCACAGCCGCCACCGACAGCAGTAGTACGTGTACAAAAGCAGTTTTTTCACAACCTGCTCCACGCACGTAGACTACTACCGTAACATCAATATTTACATGGTCGAGGCAGCAGCAACAGTAGCTATTTAAGCAGCAGCAGTAGCGAAGCCGGCGCAGGAAGCAAACAGGATATCTTTGTAGTCGTGCGACTTGTTGTTTAGGAGATAGATAAAGTCAGTTGTTGGATTGTGTAGTTGGATGCCGAACCCTCAAGCTCGCGCCTCATGGATCAACGGCGGATACATT